GAAAAATATCATGCTTACTTATCGACTCGTGTTCGGCAACTCCAACCAACAGATTATGAACGTCGTATTACTTACTTTTGTTGCCCATATGATGGTTCAGCTAGAATCCCACTATTTTAGAAAAAATTGTATGGACTGATGAGGCAAGCTTCCATAATAATGGAACCGTAAATCACCACAATACTCACTATTGGAGCGATACAAATCCCCACTGGATTAATGAATGTAATAAACAAATTAGATGGAGTATAAATGTATGGTGTGGCATAATTAATGATAGATTGATAGGTCCGTATTTTTTTGAAAATAATTTAAATGGAAACAGTTATCTTAATTTTTTTTTAAATGAACTGCCATTATTAATTGAAAATATTTCATTAGATATAATATGATTTGGCAACATGATGGAGCACCAGCTCATAATATGTTAGCCGTACGTGCTTTATTAGATGATATTTTTAGTGGTAAATGGATAGGAACTCAAGGCTCAACAATTCTTTGGCCACCGCGTTCTCCAAATATGAATGTTCTCGATTTTTATTTTTGGGGATTTTTAAAAGGCGAAGTTTATAAAGAGGAGTCAAATAATATCAATGATTTGAAAAATAGAATTGTTGAAATATGTAATAAAATACCTTCATTAGTATTAAAAAAAGCTACAACTAGTGAAGTGACTAAACGGTTATCTCTTTGTTTGGATATGGATGGTTATCATTTTGAACATTTTTTAAAATATCAATAGTTATCTATAATTTATTATTGTGTTGTTATTTTAATTTATTTTAGTAGGTACCTATTTATGTTAATATAGGTACTTATACTTCATTGTTGTCCATGACATTCAACTAAAATAAAAAGAAAATTTATTATAATTCTATAATACATATATTTTCTAATGCCTACTTAATACTTGAGTTAAACAGTTTACTTACCGATAAAACTGTAAACATCATTTGGAAGGAGGTTGTCTGCATAAAATGATCAACTGAGTTACACACATACTATCTGATTTTCTTTATACATTAACTTCACTCAAATGATATTGTGAAAGGTTACAACCTACATTGTTACATGCATGAAATCCTTAGTCTCAATAATCAAATGCCACTGAAGTAACCACACATTAAATTATTGTATGAGCCTATTTTTGAAAAAATAACTAATAAGTTTTAAAAAATTATACATTTATTGTAGAACTTTATGGAAAAAGCATGACTAAATAATCTTTTTTGTCATGGGAAAAAGGGAAACAAATGAAATGATAACGCTTGATTAGCTAACGGCTCATTTTAAATTATAGAAAATAGATATAGCTGTATGCCTCAGCAAGTCGCTAAATAAATATTATTATTCAATTAGTATAGATATTATAATCTTTACTCCTTATTTAATTATAAGTATAGACATAATATATCTATATTATGTCTATGATTAAAAGGATATTTTTTTAACAGCTGGTCAATTTTGTTCAATACTTACTTAATCACCATTTACCGCATTACATCAGCTGACATCTGATAATTGATATGGTACCTACTCAAAATAAAAAAGAAATATAACTATCAACCACGACGGATTAAGTCCGTGCTATCAACTAATAACTATTAAATAATCGACCTTTGGGTCGACCGGTTGAACGATATCGAAATCACATTATCACCTATACTGCAAAAATAACCAAGTTTTATTATATTTAAAAGATTTTTTTTATTAATAATTTTCATTGTCAGATTAATTTATAAAAATAATAATTATAATAGGTACACAGATTATTTCAAATGTATAAATAGAATTAAAGATATACATACATAAAAAATTTTAATTAGTAGATAAATATAATTTTTTTACCATACAACATTAGATCTATGTATAGATATTACTTTGTTACTGATGTATGTGACACATTTTGAATATACAAATAATTTTATATACAAATTAAACTAATTATCTAAATTATCAGTATGGTTATTTGAAAATATAAAATATGTTATAATGTATAATAATACATTAAATAAGTATAACAAAATAATAATAAATATATTATGTTGAAAACCTAACAGCTACATGTTAGTATTTAATTAAACATTTTAAGGTATTATATTATAATATTATACCTACACAATAGTAAATCCTTCAACTCATAAATTATAGTATTTACTACATTAAAAAAATTATTAAGTAAATTTAAATATGAATATAAACATGAATAACTTATGAAAATAATAATTTAGATTAGATAATATAGAAAATAGCCAACATGTATAAAGAAAATAGTTAAATAATAATAAATGGGTTATTCCCTGGCACCAATAAGTTCTGAGGAAATTTGTTTTATTAAGGCACATGACTTGTCATACTTAGTATGAATATCATAAAAAAAAGTTTGTAAAAATAACCATATATCTTCCGATTCGTGTGGATATTCAACATTGAATACATGAAATATTTTGAAGCATACATCCACCGCTTTTAAAAATTGTAAAAACCATGTATTGATTGTATCAAAATTGTTTAGGCTCAAATAATGAACCAACAATCAATATACATGGTTGTACTGGTCCCTCTGTCTGTACCATATTTTTTAAAAGAATTTCCATTTCTGATGCTGTTTCACAAATTTTCATCACAGAGTTTTGTGAATCTTTGATTCCATATTTTATAATAGATTTCTTTCCGTTTTCGTCTCGTGTTACCTTTCTTGATGAAGGAATTAGTACACTGTTTTTAGTTAATAAACAGACAACAGTTATGTTATAGAAAAATAAATACACGATGTCACGATTTAAAACGGAGAAACAGTAAATACTCTGCAGAGATTGAGGAGAGATGATTCTTTGTCAAAATCAAGTAGAAAAGTGTTCAAAATATGGAAGAAATAATCATAATATAGATACGTTATATAATTACGTGAAATACACAATGCACGGTTGTTGCACTTGGATTCCAAGTATATTTTATGATCATTTCCAATAATGCTTGATAATTACCTATATATATGATATAAGTATCAGGCACCAGCAAGGTATGAAAAATAATCTTACATAGGAAATCATTATGATTTCTAAAATCATTTAATTAGTTTAGTGGAAGGCTCAAACCAAGAACTACAGTAACTAGAAGCAAAAAGTGGTTAATGTAATAATAATTTAATATAGGTAAGATAATAATACAACAAAAGTTGCATGCTTACAACTTACATGGGAATTGATGGGATATTTACCTATGTTACGAAAAATACAAGAAAATATTGATAAATTATTACACTTACCTATAGTTATCTATACTTACCTTTTGAAGTTTGATAGTCTCTCATAATGAGTATCATTGATATATGATTCTGTATTTCACCAATCGCCTTGAATATTAATTATGAATAAAACAATAAACTGTACCACACGTCTAAATTTCATGTTTATCATATAACAGTAAAAAAAAAATATAATGGCTACAAAAGTACGGATATGATAGGATTTATATTTAATAATATTATGTTGAATTTAACCATAATATTTTTTTAATAAGTATTAGTATGATTATTTCGATAAATACATTTTGTGATTTTTAGAAATTTAATATTGATTAAACTTATAAAATCTGTTGTATAAAATCAACAAAAACCAATGTTGATTTAAAAATGCTTCTTTATAAATTTAATTAACTGTTTATAAATTCAATGTATTTCTTTCTTAAATTAATGTTTGGGTATATAATTAATTATACAGATAAAATTTGTTGATTTTACGTATGAACTTTCTTAATTCAGTAATATATTTTTCAAACCACAAAAATAATTATTATTTTAACATAGTAGTAGTATTTGTTAATAATTGAAAAACAATCATTATTGAATTTACTAATGAATTTTCGTTTAATGTAGTTATGTAATCATTATTGTTTTTCTTATTACTAATGTAGGTACGTACTTAAATTTGGAATACAGCCCATAGGTTTTAAATTATTATTTTAATTGATTGCTCACCACGTCCCATCAATTTAGGTACTCGAATCTAATACAATATTCTACAACACCAACTTATAGGTAGGACATAAGAAGATCGATCATTAGCACGGTGAACAATGTTTGCTTCATTGCATTGTATGTATTATATTATGTACTCGTATATATGTATGTATGTATGTATGTATGTATAGCTGTACATTTATATATAGGGTTAAAATAAAATATGTTCTCGCCATGCCACTGAACGCATTAGATCGCCTACGCTGCTACAAGTAATATTATGTATAGGCTGAGAAGTGGTACAGCGGTGCATCGGTGTATAAATAGTCGTGGTGAAAAACTACTGCAGCGGCGCATATTGTTTAACTAAAGACCGGAGGGGCGTCGAGAATTTTTTTTTAAATAAGAATATCACGCGTTTTTACGTAAAATTATTATTATTATTATGCAAATCGCTCGACGAAACTGCGATATATACGCGAAAAAACACTGGTGCACAGCGTGTAAAAGTACAAGCTGCGTAGCCGCGTAGGTATACACATTGTATATTATAATGTATATATAAACTCGCGCGGCAATTATTATTACGTATTATAATAATATAGCGGTTGTGTTCGCGCCGAGACGGCGTTTAATGGGCGGGCGATGAACGTGCTTTGCTGGCAGGGGGAGTGGGGTGGCTGCGGTTTCGGTCGGTCGGTGGATAGTGGTGACGAGGGGGGGAAAAAACGGAGAAAATCAACGACGGGCCCGCACACATTATCGCCGTCGCCACCGCCGCCGCTCCGACCGCCACGCTGTATTTGTGGGCAGTGTAGAAGCAGCGGGACGACGGGGCACGCCCATTGGATCATTCCCGGTCGAGCGGTCGGCTGGCTATCTCTCAGTGGTGGGGGGAGGGGGTGGAGGAGGGCGAGATCGATATCCGGAGGCCACGCCCCACCCCCCGCGGCCGCGGCCGGTGGGCTGGGCTCTGCTGCGCCACCACCGCCGACCGTCTCGACCTGCGCACTGGCCGCCGCCGCGTTTTAGTATCGCGACGTTAACCCGACCGGCTGGCCGCGCACACATCGCACACGCACGTCGTACCGCGTACACGACGACCGGCGACGCAACCGCGCAGGTATATACACCGTATACCAAACCTGTACCCATCAGTCGACCACGGGCGCGGTGATCGCATTCGCTCCCGGCACGTCCGTTCCGTTGCCGCCGCTTTTTATTTTTCATAATAATTAGTATTATAATATTATCATAACGGTACGCACACCGGGCGATATGGTCCGCTAGTCGACGACGACCACGGCCGCCGAAGCCTCAGCCGTTCGCGTTTGACCCGAAGTTACGAAAATACGTCCGTTTCGTCGCAACGATTTGCGAGTGTTTTTCACGCCATTTGCAGCAATAGAAGAAATTCATATTATTATAGGACCTCGATTTGGTTGTTCTGTCCTGGTATTATAATCTTACACCGTGTCGTGGATACCTAGGTATAGATAATCCTTCCACCCGTTTTTCGTTACCGTTTCGCCGGCCGCATAGGTACGGTGACGATACCTAAGCACCGGTAATAATATGATAATGGGCACGGCCAACCAGGAACAGCATCCCGCCAGCGCGATCAAAAAGCCCACGGACTTTTCGATCGACGCTATTATGCGCAAAGATGACGTCGCCGCCACTGCCACCGATTCGAGACACAACATCATGTTCGGTGAGTGCCAAAATATTTTTGTTTATTAAAAATCTACGATTATGTCAGAGGATATAATATTGTATGCGTGTTTTATGTTTTGTCACAGTTTACTCTGGGTACATAAACATAATGATAAATTGATAGATTTTGAATACCCGCAATACGATATAGTTTTATTGTGTAGTTTTATTATACCTATATAATATTAACCACAGTATTATTATCAACTTGAAAGAAATTTAGTGTTGCTATAACAACAACCACAGTACTATTTCAATTTTTTTTTTATTGTCTTGTATATATTAGATATGGGTACTTTTTTTCTAAACTATAAAATGAAGTACCTAGATATCCTGTTGATTTCAATGTACTTAATATAAAAAATACAAAAATATTTTATCACAGGACATTTTGTATGAATATCATTTTTATTTTGTTTGGTAGGTATTTTTTACAAATATATTTGCTATCTGTATGTAGGTATGTATATTGTATATGCATCTATCATTACGATTAATACGAATTTAAATAATCATTTTAATACAAACCAACTATTTTTAAGCCACTAAAAACAGCAATGATAATTACGTTATTTTTACTTATTTTGATGGGCATAATTATATAATATAGTTTAATCAATGGTATAATATAATACTGCAATTATGATAATATTGTTATATTTATATTTTATGTACACAATATAACAATTAAACTGCAGAAAATATTTTATGCAGAATAGCATATTTTATTTAAATACTGTTAAAACTTATTAATATTTTTCTCATCTAACTATTTTAAAAACCAACTGAATTACATTAAAATCAATGATGAGTGGTTTTATAATTTAAAGTGATATAATAATTATTTTATAACTAGCTACTCACTAGGTACCTACTTGGAATACAATTATTTATATGGGATACATTTTTTTACATTGTATAATTATACGCAATCACTCTATCTATTACTATTTTGCTACAAACGTACCTACTTATTATTTTTTTAATATTAGTTACCTAGTTTTTACATTATATATATATATTACAGTGCAATGTCGGTCAAATGTTATTTACATATTACTATTGAATTTCGTGCAGGCACAGAAGGCGAAGGTTCGATGGGTGGGACAGAAGATTTGGACATAGAAGTGGACGTTGTTGAGACTTCGGAACCAGAAGATTTGGCCGCTAACCGCTATCATCGACGGTCTTCGGTGGACGCGGGTACTGGAAAGCAAAATGGCACTGCTAGTGGCTCGAAGAAAAAAAGATGCCGAGAGACGGTTAGCGCTTCATCTGAAGACGGTGATCGGACACCGCCTCCACAAGATTCTGCACAGGCCATCTCCAAAAACCTGGCGACAATGTTGGCAAAATGTACCAGTCCGGATTTGGCATCCACGGAATGCTACCTCGAGTCCGTCTCAAAAGAACTCTGGTCCAAATTTCACGAACTGGGCACGGAAATGATAATCACCAAAACTGGAAGGTATGCATCATACTCTATATCTACATAAAATAAATATATTATAACAAATTATAGGTATTATTGTGTGTATTTTGTCGAGCGTATGATATAATAAGGTAATATAATGTTCGGTATATGTTCGCATTTCACGGCAATACGCAATTCAATAGATACCCATATTTTATCCATACATTTAGATTTAAGTACCGCATTTTTCAAAACGTCATTATAATTTCTATCTACAAAATACCTATATTACTATATTTATATATGAATATGTTTGTGTGTGTGAATATTATAGATTACATTTTATATTTTATATGGATATTTCATAGAATAAACGAATTTCAAATTATTAAAAATTAAATTAAATTATTAAAATAATCAAAACATGCAAAAACTGCACTAGCGGATGGATAACTAATTATTTCCTATTAAAAATGTATAAAATATGTACGAACACATAATACGTCGAATAACACGACCGAAAATCAACTAATCTTTAATCATCATGTTGATCAGATCGACGATAATGCAGAATCACTTATAGTCTGTTATTACTTCTTTCCAGTGTTACCTACTATTATTTATTACTTATTAGAACGTTGGAAATTCGGAATATTTTAAGTTCTATTAAAGTAAAGCCAAAAATAAAGCAAATTCTTGAAGTCCTGAACCTTGATCAAAAGTACCTGTATAATTAAAATTATCAACTGATTATTTTTAATCGGCAAAAACTTGTTATATCTTGAAATTCGTAGATTAAAATATTGGCCTAAAGGTTTTTTGTTTTTTTACATGTAATGTATTCGATGCTGGTACAAAAATCTGATTTTTTTTAATCTATATATAGGTAAGTATTGATAAAATCTGTACAATTACCTATGTGTTTTTACGTTGAGTTCATTATTGCTTTAATTTTCAATTGAGTTCATGTTAGTTTTTACTTATTCAGTAGGTACCAGCTATTTACCTATGTACTTTTCTGCATATTATTAATTTCTTAAATTCTGTTTAGTATAAAATCATCATGCTGTTTTTAAATAGAGAATAGGAATTAGATACACACAATATTTTATGTTGTCGTCGAAATAATATTGCAGTGATATTGTTTGGCTGTAGTACGTATGTCTTTTTATACAATCATAAAATGCTCAATACTTATAATATCGTATAATAATAAATAATATCAACTACTGTTCAGTTATATTAATTCACATAGGTGGTTAATATATTATAACAATAAAAAACAATGATAATTATTATTATGATTCCATGACTAATAGTAAGACTCAACGTACGATGAAAAAAAAATGTGCTATTAGTTATTAGTTATTACAATATACCTATAAATATATCATTACGGCACCTATTATTGATTTGGTATTATACATTTTGGACGAGCTGTATAAGGGACGAAGAATAAAAGAATATAAAACCGAATCGCGTGTTTATACGCATCGTGCATGCCCTGACACACACATTCATAAATATATAAAAGTATACACAGGGCAGAAGTTATTATTAATGACGTTTTATCGATGTCCCGAAACGACCCGCCAACAGTACCTAATAATCTATTTATTATTTATAACTATTATATTGTTATATTATTATCAACTCGGGTCAATTACGGTCGTTTGGATTTCTATAATATTGATTCGCGTATACCCAATACCGCACCCTGTGATGACATCAGATTTTGCATATTTCCACGCACGATATTATTATATGGTTGTGGAACTACGAATGTCATACATGCACGATGGTCGTTATAAATTATACACCCCACGTGTAACATTATCAATCAAACACGGCGTGAACCTGTAGCATTATAATACCTATACAATATACATACATATCTCATAACATTATTATTTGATATGTATGCAACTATAAAATTACGCTGAGTGGTGCGGCCGGACGTTTTGTCAACCGGAACCATACATACCAGCTATTTAATAATATATCTACTTGAGGACCCGGCTCGATCACCTCTCCCAATACAAATCGTATAGAACATCATGTGATCATGTGACATTTCTTACATAAAATACCTATCCTTAAATAGGTTAACCGCTTATTGCTAACGGATAACTCGGAGGGACAGATGACGTCACGACAAAGGGGGCGGCCTCGCAGTTATACCACATCGATCATATTATTATGTTATAATAATATATATTATATTCTAATCGTGCATTACCGCAGTTGGTTTCGCCGCTGTAGGTCTACCTTGCGCGTATAATATATTATGTAGGTGCGTATAGGAGGTACATAATATAATATACCCATATGGCGATATCATACGAGTATTATGTATATATATCTCAACTGTACGACGTGTGTATATGACGATGATAAAATAATAATATAATACGGCGAACGGCTGCCGCGGCAGAAGTTAATAGTCCTCGTGAATTCCTCAAACGCCATAGCTGGTATAGGTGAACGGCGGACCATCTCTCTTGGAGGCGCGAGCCCGAGATGCCGAGACAGACCGCCGCGTGTATAGAACGCGTATTATATATTGTGTATATATTGTTATTATATTATTATTGTGCATACGTATATAATGCGTGTGTGTGTGTGTTGGAACCAAGCGAGTAGTAGCACACACACACACACACGCGCGCGCGTTCGCGCTCACACATAAATACGTGTATATATATCATATATGTATGTCGTATATGTGAGTGTGTGTTTTGACGTTGTTAAAAGGCATATAATACAAGCGGCTATTGTCCCTTTCATGGAGAGATGATAAAACCACGCTCGTCAAGACCTCACACCGCGCCCCATCGGTTACGTCTCGCGATCGTCGTCGTTTATATATTGTGGCTAAATACCTTGGGTCTCCCACGTGTGTGTACAGTTGTACATACACACACAAAAAATCCGTGCACAATTCATTGTAAATAAACGATAGCTGGAGTATTTTTACGTTTTTCTCCGCGTACTCTCTCTTACTATCTCTCACTCACTCTCTATTATCGCTGTATCTTTCCTCCTTTTATCCACAGGAATAAGAGAAAACGTCACACGGTGAATACCCCCGTCGTATGCTCAGTATGTATCTAATAACATTAATATATATATATATACAATACACCCATAAGACCCGAATCACGCTGTGCGTTTTTTCTCTATCCGCACAAACCTTTCTGCCGGCGGGGATGCGGTAATTTATCGTCCTTAACTGCAGTTTGTCGATGTATGTACCTAATAGGGGCTATAATATATCCTTTCGGCGCAACACTCGTTACCCTTCTTGTAATCCTTTGCCGTCGCCGCCGCCTCCGCCACCGTGCAATTCAGGGTGCAGTTCGTGCGCGACAATATGACTTGTTACAAAACTATCGTTTTACCGCCCGACAGTATATAATATATATATTATATTATATATAGTCGCTATAATGCATACGTCAGACATACCTACCCGTTTTCCTCACGTATACCTGTACAACAGTGGTGACTCGGCTGTTTTATTATTATTATTGGGACGCAGATCAATCGAGAGTGCATTAGAGACGTATTTATAATATATGATAATATGCACGATAAATATATTTTAGACATATTATATTATTGTATTTGTGTTTCTAAAAAGAAAAAATATTTTATACATACCCGCCTCGAACGTTCGCTTAATCCCTGAGGTGTACGCGCTGTAGGGGCGAGTTTGTCAGTCTTGTAAACGTGATACATGGCACAATGATTGATAAATTACCCTTGGACTCTTTCCTCTATGTCTGTGATGTCGAGAACACAGATATAATAACAACAATATAATGTATAATAATCCCCAGAGATACACAGCGACGTTGTCCCTGCACCCTAACTCCGCGACCAGGCTGTCCTCAAGACATCCCCTAAACTCCATTTTCGGCCGTCCGTCAGCAGACGGTCGTGGCGTATAGGTAGGTATTTGCATAACCACGGGAATCCTATCATATTATTTGCATGTGTGACTTGCATACGAGTGTATATAAGTATACGCACGTGTCTCTATCGGGAAAAATGGCATGGGTAGACGGGTAGTTACAAAATACACTCCATCGCTCCGTTGTTTCAAAGGATAACTAAAGAGCATTCTATACCTATAGATTTCTGATTAATTTAATAATGCCGGTACTAATCGTTTAATATTTAACCGCATAATAAGCCGACACTTCTCAATAAAAATATTGTAACGTTATGTTGTTATACAACTGAATAAAAACCAACAAATTTTAAAATTTTAAATACCACCTACCTACTGTTTGTTTATGATATTAATGTAAATAAACTCATCATATAATAATATATTATACTTAAACGCACAAATTCGTTCATTCAGCTTGTATTATATAGGTTTTCGATTATAGCGGTTAATAATATATTATGTTTATCAAATTTATTTATTAATGTATGTATTTACACCAATATATTTTTTGAACCCGTTGATAGAACTGTCACATCCGGTCTACGCTCACCGATGTCACAAACTCCTAATTAATTATTTGTAAAGTTTTGTATTTTATAGAATATCATACAACTTATTGTGTGTACACTACTATACTTACTTTAAAGATTGTTTAGGTAGTAATGAAATATATTAACCTACAATGATATGATACCGCTGACGTGTATTTGCAGTAGGAGGTAAAATATACGGGCGCGTTAGCCCGCGGTACCGCGGTTACAAACACAATAATAATATATTATAATCAGCTACCTACATGTAATGAAAGTTTGTGTTCCACAAACACGTTTCCGTTGACATCGCAACAGTCCAATCTTTAAATGTAATTAAAATATAGGCGTGCATATATATATCGAGTCGGTGACACTGCCATCACTTTACCACTCCTTATTATGTATAGATATACCCTAATGAATTAAACATAATATTATATTCAAACACTGGTGACGTATAATTTGACGCGTGTTATCTCGTATTACCTACATATTATTATTATTATTGTTACATACCTTTATAATAAAATATCTTTAAGAACACATATGTTGAGCGTCTCGGG